TATTGGATTTGTTTTAAAGTTTCCTTCTCTTTGCAGTAATGTGATTCTACAGAGATTTGTTCCCTTAGTCGCCTTTTACAAAACCCCACAGGATGAATTACGGTAGTGTCACAAGGTAGCCTTAATCCGTCACCACACGGACAATATTTGCCGAAATAAAACTTTAAAATTAGTGGTTCCTGAGTAACAAACTTAGAATAAAAGATGACGAAGTAATATACCAATTACCTCCGGCATCTATTTCAATATGGAGGCTTGTTTGAATATTAATGATTTAAACACATTCGAATAAATAAGCGACTAATTTTCCTGAGTGTGTATAAGTAGATACAAGTGGATTGTGAAGCTGTTGGGTCGCACTTTAGTTAGCTAGCTTAGCCAAGTAAAACTAGCTTAGCTTAGGGCTTTATTAAGTAATAAAGTAAGTAGCTAACTTACTTTTTTGGGATACTCTTATCTAATGATATTCCATTTTCAGGAGGGTTAGAATTGCTCATTTTATTTCCACGAGTTGGGCCGATTTAACACGTCATAAGAGGGATGACACCCATTCCCTCAAGAAGGCAGTATTTCAATTCTCACCTCCGGTTGTTAGGCCTGATTTTTTCGCGATAATTGCCTAATCATTTAAGTTAATCTTGTACGGCTAGTTAGATCTTCACTCATCCAACCCTCCTCTTTTTTTATACGGGCTCGGGACCGTCAATGGCAGAGTTTGGCAGAACGTTATAATTGGCTGAACATTATAAATGGACTTAACTCACTATTTTATATTTAAATAAAAAAGTATTGTCGAAATCATGTCCCATAATCATGATACATTTTATAAGTTGTATTCTTTCCCATTTTAGTTCCTTGATTGTCCATCAATAGAAATAGAATACTTGCTCTTAATTTAAGCGAGAACAACCTGGAGTATAACTGATTTAAATTAAAATGCATCTTTGAAATCGGTTCACGACGATAACAAAGACATAGCGAAAACACACAAAAATCAGACGAGTTGAGAATCTTTTAAAGTCTGTATAAAAGTGGTTATTTAATTTTCAATATAATTTGATTTAATGAAAAAGATCAACAACTGTTAGAGATACGAGTACGTATAAAAAATCACAACTATGTACGAGTATATCGTTCAAACTTATGTGTTTTAGACTTTACTGTAGTTTAAAGTTAAACACAAATCATCATCATTATCATTAACAGCCTTTAATAGCCCACTGCTGGACATAGGCCTTAGAAAGGCGGTTTTGGCCGACTATAACATGCTGGCCTGGCTTAGCCAGGGTTGGTATAGGGTCAAGTTTTCCTGTTGCACCGGTGTGCGGCTCTGACCGCCCAGAATAGGGCACGCCTCTGGCGCCCTCAGAGGGTATTGGCGGTTAGAGCCATACGCGGTTACCGCACCGTTTCGACGGAGGTGGCTTTCGCGTTGGCCGGAACTCCCCCGTGGGATTTGGAGGCGGAAGTGCTCGCCGAAGTTTATCGGCGAGTGGCTGACTCCCGGGCGGAGAGCGGATTTCGCCCTCCGCCCGAAGACGTGCGCGAGTGGCGCGAAGCCGCTCGCCGAGCCACGATGGCTCGTTGGTCGTTCCGGCTGGAGACTCCACGCGCTGGCTTCGCCGCCGTGGAGGCTCTCCAGCCGGCAGGTGCTAGGAGGGGTCCGGATGTCTTAATAACAGCTGTTCCCGGATCACTCCTATTACAGGCGCAGAGTGGCACACCGTGTGGTTTTAGTCGGTCCGAGTCCGACACACCACCCCGCCGCAAACCCCGGTGGGGTGACGGTCCGAGGGGATTTCCAGACGTAAAAAAAAAGTGCAGTGCTGTTTTCCTGAGTAGTTTGTTCCCTTAGTCAACTCTTATGACACCCACGGGAAGAATAGGGGTGGTGACACTCCGTATTCTTAATCCGTCACCACACGGACAAATACTTAGTTAACTTCTCAAAGACGCTATGAAAATGTAAATTAATCAATCATATTTTTTTTCTCCTTCAGAACTCACTTGATCTTTATAATGAATGGTTACTGGTAAAACGTTACTAAAAAAAAGTTTTTGATGTAAGACCAGAAAAATCTAAAATTGCTTTTAATTTTAGATTTCGACAAATTAATACATCCATTCTAATGTAATCCATTGCAATTCCATTTTTTCTGATCTCTGATGTAATATCTTAAAACTGACGTAGTCAAGTGGATTTCTATATTTTTTCTATAAAGTATGATATTTTAGGTTTTCGTTTAGAACTTTACGTAACGGTCTACTATACTTTTTTATAAAGCGGAACATTAAATTGAGTTGATGTCTTTAAAAAATATTCATTCGGGGTTCATACACAAACATTAGATCAATTTTAAGTAACTTTTGTAACCTGAATGCGAATCTGACTATAACATAGTAATAAATAATAAAACCACCGATCTTATCTGGGTTATTACCCAGATAAGATCGGTGGTGACGCGAAAGCACTTGTTTAACGCGAACGAACGCACTAACAATTTTCATTTCATTTTAATTTATTCGGGCCATATAAATTGCGAGCTTGGTCCGGTCAAAACTAAATTTAAAATGATTAATAAAGCTTACCTTCTTCGCTAAAGTGCATTGATGGACATTCACACTGCAGCAATATCAACTTTGGTTGTATTAAAGCGCAGCAATTTTAGAAGATGCTTTTACCGTCTAGACTTGTCAAAAATCAATACATTAAAGCCTGTCACCATCAAAAACCATGATATGTACAAAAATTCACAAGTCTCGCAAACTAAATCGGTTAATTCAGTACCTACCTATCTATGGGAGCAGCTATTCAATCACTTTGTCATAAACTGATACATTGTTAACTAGCTAACAACATTTTATAGTAGCCGTAACAATTTTATAAATTTTTTTCTTCAATAAATAGAGTGACATGACAAACGCACATGGCAACATAATCTGCTAAGTAATTTAAATGATAATCTACATACATATGCAGGTACTTTCAAACAAATAAAAGCGCAGATTTTGTTTTATGTATTGATTATTTTTATAGATTATTATGTGGATTTTTTTATATCTTTACTTCACCGTTTTAGGCCTCGTTACTTTAATATTTCCAAAAATAAATAACATTACAATTTGAATGAAGAATCTGCAATGCAGTAAAAGTCGAAGCGTTAGTATCTGCTGTATTCAACAAAATGTGTGAGAGTGTGTGTGTGTGTAGGTTTCTTATCAGAGACCAAAGCCTCCCCTTCCCCCGATTTTAGAGGGAGGGACTGAAAGAGCGGCAACGCCTAGTGCGTTCGTCGTGATTCTTGAGTTTCAGGTATCAATGGGCAATGGTAGTCACAAAACTGCTTTATCAATTTGATTCGTATGTAAAACTAAATATGTGAAACTTCAGAAACCTGTTGAGGTTGATCGTACTCTCGACATCTGGCTTAGTAGTTAGGATTGTCATCGTACTAACTCCTACATTGACTGACAAATTTGTATAGTTAATGTACTCATGAGGTCAAGGTCTGGAGAACAAAATTCAGGTGTACAGTTTAACATCTAAACTGCAGTGAGTATTGAAAACTTTAACGGTACCCACATTCATCTGATAAGCATTAACATTCTACATTTAGGTGTAATTCATCTAAAATAATTAACTAAGATGTGTAAGTGTTAGCTAAAAATGCCTCGCCAAAGTATGCTTACTTAAAATTTAATACCAAACGAAAGTATGAGGTCCATAGTTTCTACAAAAATTACAGTTTCTAAAAAAAATGCACCCATTTGTTTAAAGAACAATTTTAGATTCGAATAAGCGCTGTTACATTGCAAACACGACGATATAAACATCTAAAAAAAACTGGTATTAATGACGGTTGTCGAGTTTTAAAGATTGAAATTAAATATTATAGATAAATTACACCTAGACAGGATATTAAGAGCATATAAGAAGTCAGTTCAAAACCAATTAAAATGATACCTCCAAGACTTAATTAAATTGTACAAATAAATTGTTTCACGAATTTTGTTTAAATTAGGAAATGTCCATGCCGTTCACTCCACACTTATGCGTGTGTGTTATCACATTTATACCTACTAATGTAAACCGATTTATCATTTACTGTGATAAGATTATGTACGATTTTCTAATATATATATATATCTCAGAGAGTATAAAAGGACACAAATCGTGAGGACTTTAAAGTAAAATCGTTGAAACAAGTATAATGTCAGTGTTATTTCACGTGATTGTGTGGTGTTTTCTAGCTATAAGTCCAAATGAAGCGGCGAGAATATTAGGTGTGTTCCTAGTTTCATCAATAAGTCATCAAGTAGTATTCCGACCGTTAACTCAGGAGCTAGCTAAGCGAGGGCATGAGGTTGTCGTTATTACACCGGATCCAGCTTTCTTACCACAAGAAGCACCTGCGAATTTAACAGAAATTGATGTTCACGATATATCATATAAAATATGGAGAGAAACATTCATGACAGAATCCAAAGGAGATGAAAAAGATTTAGAAGCACAAATACAAACAATTCTCAATGCTGGTTTTAGAATACTTGATACGCAATTAAATGACAAACAAGTAAAGGCCCTACTTGAAGATAAAAATCAAAAGTTTGATTTAATATTAGTAGAAGCGTGTTTAAGACCTTTAATAGTATTTTCTCATATATATAAAGCACCATTGATTCAGGTCAGCTCTTTTGGTGCATCTTTAACTAATTACTTAGATATGGGTGCTCCAGTGCATCCTGTTTTATACCCAACTATAACACGCCAAAGACTTAATAATTTAAGTATGTTTGAGAAAATTCATGAGTTGTATAATACATATAAAATTGAAAGTCTTTTTGAAAAGAATAAACACTTAGAACATAAACTGCTAAAAAAACATTTCGGAAATAGTGTACCTTCTATAGACGAATTAAGCAATAACATAGATATGTTGTTCCTGAATATACATCCTCTTTTTGAAGGCATTAGACCCGTACCTCCGACTGTTGTATACATGGGTGGATTACATCAAAAACCTGACAAGGAACTACCATCAGTAAGTGGCCTATTTGAATTAGTCGCAATCAATTTCAAATAATGTGACCATAACTTTTTATTTCATAATATTTTGACTATTTTTTTTTATAATACCTTATATCTCAGCCGTCAAAAAATTGAAAATACTGAAACATAATTTTGTTGAATTCTTTAAAAAAGTTGTAATAATGAACAAATAACAAGTTAATAAACCTAGTTTTTCTGTTACATTAGCTTTTTTGTGTTGTTTATGACTTTTTGTACTCTTGTAGTTTATCGAGTTATTCTATGGCTCGATTCCCACCCAGGACAAATATTGTGTGATGAGCACGGTCATTTGTTCTGTGTCTGGGTGTAATTTATCTATAATATGTATGTATTTATAAATTTATAAGTATGATTATCAGCAGTCTGGTTATTATAGCACAGGCTCTGCCTAGTTTGGGACCAGACGGCCGTGCGTGATATGTGTGAGATAAATTGTTATTATTTATTATTATTAGAACAGCTCATGGACTAAAGTTACACAAAATTAATAACTGGTATGCATTATTCACAATCTACCACACCTTTTAGTAGCCTGTACTAAACGCAATTACATCATTTATGGTGCCTCTAACTCTTTGTTTACGTATTCTTCCACAAGAACTTTAAAGTACAACTGTAACAACGAAAAACCTAGTGGTGGTACTACCCTAGTCAGTCGCTTTTTGTTCGATCTTGTCTTCTTATATTCTAATCAATAAAAAATTTCTTTTAGGATCTCAAGTCTTATTTAGATTCGTCGCAGAATGGAGTAATTTACATAAGTTTTGGCACAAACGTAGACCCTTCTCTTTTACCACCTGAAATAATACAAACTTTGGTAAACGCATTCTCAAAATTACCTTACGATATTTTATGGAAATGGAATAAAGATGAATTGCCTGGACGCACTAGCAACATAAGAATCTCTAAATGGCTGCCACAGTCTGATTTACTCAGTAAGTTATTTAAAAGTATTTGTTATATGTCTGGCCTTTTCCAAGTTAAATAATTTATTGAACAAAATTATCTTTTATAGAACATCCAAAAATCAAGTTATTTATAACACAAGGAGGACTACAATCGACAGACGAAGCAATAACAGCTGGAGTGCCACTGATTGGAATGCCTATGTTGGGGGATCAGTGGTTCAATGTAGAAAGATATGAGTACCATAAAATTGGGATTAGGATTGATATGAAGATTCTTACTGCGGAAAAATTGATCAAGGCGATCAACACTGTAATTGGAGATGACAGGTTACTTAAATAAAATAATTATCATAATTCATTATGTCCCTCTAACTACCGAATGTATTCTGTATCAAAATCAACAAAATCCATACCAGATCCATCGACTATTCTAACTGTTTATTTTTAAAGTGATACAGATTTATTGTCTTGTGGCTTTTTCTATCTAAAACTCTACTCTATATACTAATACCTGGTAAAGGTGTGTAGGGAAAGTAAAAAATAAAAGAAAACGAGCAATTTTTTTTCTGGATATGATCCTAATCTGTGTTAAAGTCCATATGTTGTTGAAACGAAAAGTTGAAAAAGACGTATGACAAGAGAAGAGACAAGCATTTTTATTCTGGTTCTAAATTCGTTTTACTGGGTTCAAATTTTAATGATTTTTACGTACGGTCACCGTGCTGAAAAGTTTATAAGTCTAATATAACCCTTATAAAATATATTTTTGATTTACTTAAGGAGAAATACAGCTAACAGTACTGATAAGATACAATTATTTGCATACGTAAATAGCACAGCGGATGTTTTTTGCAGTGTAGCGACGAGAAAGAAACATGTATTTTTTTGCTAGGCTTAGTGTAAGGACCTTGAAATTTTCTTCCATATCAAATACTATTTTTTTTTGTTTTTTTTCAATGTAAACCACTCTAAATTGACATAATTACTTATTACTCCTTATCATTCCGTGGTGATGGCTTAAGAATACAGAGTGTCACCACCAATATTTTTCCCGTGGGTGTCGTAAGAGCCGTCTAAGGGAGCAAACTACGCAGGATAACAGCACTGTGAAGAGAAGAAAAACTTGAAACAAACCCTATACCATCCTGTCTAGCCAGCGTGGTATAGTAGGCCAAAACCTTCATTCTAAGGAGAGGCCTTTGTCCAGTAGTGGACTATTAAAGGCAAAATCTAAGTAAACATGTCATAGTGATTTAAATTTTTGTTTGATTTTAAACATCTGGCGGGGATCATTGACTTTTTCAAAAAGGATTCCTGAAAAAAAGCATTATCCCCACTGGTTAAGAATTATCAGTGGGGACTTCTGGTTCAATCGTTTTTTTTTTTTTTTTTTAATTCAATTTAATTTTCAGTTACCGTCGTAATACCGTAAGACTCAGAGAATATATGCGTGACGAGCCTATGCGTCCGCTTGATCGAGCGGTGTGGTGGACTGAATACGTACTGCGACACGGGGGAGCTAAACATCTGCGGTCACCTGCTGCTAACATCTCCTGGGCAGAATACTTAGAACTTAAACTAGTTTCTACGGTATTAGTAATATTATTTGCAATAGCCATATTTTTAATTACAGTTCTACGATATCTCTATAAATTGACTATGGGAAATCAAATTACTACGAAATTGAAAAGTACATAATAATTTTATTAATGGTTATTTAATTATTACTATTATAGATTAATGTGGAAATACATATATTTAATTCAAGCTATGTACAGTTAAATAAACATTTTACTAAGCTGGGTATTAAAAGCCATATTCAAAAATTGTCCATAAGAGATGTTTTCACTTTAAAGTCACCATGTATTTGTACATATTCATGTGATTTATTCCTATAAATAAAATGTTGATATACTATAAACTTTAGTCTATTTTGTTATATATTATACTATCTTTTGCCCGCGGCTCCACCCGCGTATATGTCAGTTGTCATGGTAAAATGTACCCTATGCGTTTCCTCAAGAATTAAACTATCATCATACCATTTAATCTAAATAGGTTTTGCGGTTATTGAATTCCCATCCAAACTTCCATCCCCCTTCTCACCCCCTTTAAGGATTTGGGAGTTTTCTATGTATGTATTTACAAAAAAAAAAGTATATAAGTATTCTATCAGTCAATCTAGCTTATATTATAGCATAGTACCAGCTCTGCTTAGTTTGAAACTAGATGGCGTTGTGTGTCAAATGTCCAAAGTATTATTAATTAAAAATAATATGTTCGAAATATTATATGTCCTTTCCTGGGACTCGAACTATCTCTATACCAATTTTTATCCTAATCGGTTTAGCAGTTAAAGCGTGAAGAGGTAACAGACAGAGAGACACACTTGAGGCCAAAAACTTGCATTGACTTCACTTTGCTCCATTACCCATTAAACGCATTGCCGGCGCTTTCCATGTCTGCTGGTTTGCGCTCCTGTTAGGTAGAAGGGTTAACACAGCAGACAGTGAAGGTAAGTGCTGACGCGTCGCAAGGAGTACTTCCTAAACCTATTCCTAGTTTGCAATTCCCAGGCGCTGTCGAATTCGCATGTGTAGCGCGTAATCTAACACGCGTTAGACCCGGCATCCGCGCGGTAAATCCATGGAACGCTAAGAAATTGCTCTATAATTCTTAAAGGTATAGTTCATTAAAGGATGAGTAATTATTAGTCACGTATTTCAAACATTTTAGCCAGAAAACTCCTTTATGTAAAGGACTAACAATAACGGCCCCAATGTTATATGTAGTATGAGTATGTTACTCGCTGATAATGTAGACTTCTATTGGTCAAAGAGTTTTTGAAAATTCAGTTTAGTGGTTTAGGCGTAAAGTGTTGCAACAATGCACTTTTAATTTCTATAATATAATAAGTACGGAAGTACGAATGTACGAGTAATATGCAAACCAATATAATAATACGATAATAATGATATCCCACTCATCTCACACACGGCCGTTCTGATCCCAAACTAGGCAGAGCCTGTACTATGGTAACCAGACTGCTAATAAACATACTTATATATTTTTTAAATAGATACATATTATAGATAAATTAAATAATAATAATTTATTAATAAAATTAATATAAAATACCTACACAATTACCATTTAAATGAAGCGTTTTCAGTAGCATTCAGTAATCCACCTTGTAAAACCACCCAACCTACCCAGCTTTAAAAAAATAGTTTATACTCCATATTTTTTATATTAGGGGTACGGCAGTTGGCCAGACCGTGGACACGGCTCTCTACACGCTGGCAGAGTGCCCGGCGTGGGTTGAGCAGAGGCGAGACCTCGTGGCGGCCATCGGAGTGGGAGTTCTCTCGCTCGATAGCCTGATTGCAGCTATCGTGCGGAGCGAGAGTGCGTGGAACTCTGCCGTCTCCATCTGCGAGCAAGTTATGCTCGCGAAGGAGACGGAGGAGTGGGACCGGGAGAGGTTTAGAACTCTCCCGGCCCGCTAGGCCCGGGAACGGGCCGGGTACCGCAGGCTACTCAGGCGCCAGAGGTCGCAGAACGACCTCCGTCCTCAATAAGCGCAGGCCTGGGGGTGACAGGTGAGGCCATCTGTCACCCTAGCAGAAGCAGGCCGGGGTGGCGGCGAGCGCGTTGCGAAGCGCGCTCGCTTCCAGGGAGCAGAGGGAACATGGGGTTTCAACACGGGAGGGGTCGTCTACTCGTCTGTAGATGGCCCGAGGTATGTCGGGGCACCAGGGACTTCCTTTCTAGGGTATACCTGGTTCCCCGGCTATTAGTACCCGAGACGGCGTGCGGTTTTAGTCGGTTCGAGTCCGGCATGCCACAGCACGGAAAAACGGTTAAGGCATTATAGTATGTTTGCCAAGTACAGCAAAACTAAAGGCATGGCTGTCACCTAAACGCAACACTTTCATTTAATTTTATGGGTGAAAGACGACTTTCACGATTCTCTATTTACATCTCCTCATTCATTTCATAGTATATACTATACCTGACAAAATTTACATGCTGGCAAGCGTACGAAAAAAAAAATAGAAGTGGCGAGCATTGAGATAGGCATATGTCCGGCAGTGGACAACGATGGGTTGATGATGATGATAATGATAAACCGTACGTGGCATAATCGAAAGCGACAAGTTTGGGTTGTTTACAACCAGTTAATTTCGATTTCAGTAGTTTTAAAGAGCAGGAATCCGCAATTTTAGAACACAATAGATTGAGAACTTGTGGGACATTGTCACATCAAAGCCAGATTTAATGACAAGTTATCAAACAGAAGACGAATCTATTGAAATCTATCAAATGAGCAGCAATGACGCTAATTTGTTAGAGCACATGAAGGTCAAGACATACAAAACACTGCTCAATCAATCGCTATCAAGCCAGACTACATAGAAAAGATTCAGAGTATTTGTTGACATATTTAAATTGTATATTTGTATATCTATATGTTCATGACTTTCGAAACATTAAAAAGAAAACTGTTTTTTAAAAAGGCAGGGATAAAATCAGCAGACGGATCACCTGTTAATCCATCTACTATCACCGTCTATTTTTAACTATGTTTACCAGGATAAGAAAGCATATTAAACCAACCCCAAATTAATTATGAGTAAGGGAAATAGGGTATAAAAAGACTATTATTAAGTTTTTCTAATAATATTAGACACTAATAAAAGATAAAGATAACTTCAAAGTGTATCAGCAGATTAAAACTCTAGAAATAGACTTCAAGCTTCAGTATAATCTCACATAACTTAAAAATTATTATTTTGTAAAATAAGCCTTACTTGAGCCATCCCCAATATGAGGTCATAAATATTTTCATCAACAGCCTTTAGTAGTCTACTGTATACATAGCCTTTAATTAGAATGGAGGTTTTGGAAGCCATAACCATAACAAGAAAATGAAGGGAATGATAACTAATCGTTTTTCAACTTTATTTTGTAGAAGGTACCCGTAATTAAAGATATAGGAGTCCGCATTGACAGCAAATTACATTCTATTGCTCCTATTTAGTAACATGGTTAACAAAACCTTGTAATTATATCGTAGGCCGTATGACGCAAACTAGTCGAGCTAATGCTATATAAATCTCTTTCTAGACGCCAATTCGAATGTCAGTACTGTTTGAAATCTATTTTTCGTTAGATAGAAACATGCAGATACAGCGAAATTTTATACGTTCTGTAGACTATAATTTTAAATAAAATTATCTCAGACACAGCATGAGACGTAACAATTGTAATCAGCTCGTTAACCAAATAAACATTCAAATACCTACACTTAGTTGTTCACATCGTTTTTGTAACACGTCTATGACTCTTTTAGAATCAAGATGAATAAAACTAAATGTAGAAAAGTATTTTAATAGCATCAGCAGTACAAATTTATTTTTCTTCAAAATATTGTTACTGAATCATGCAACATAAATATTTATATATAATTATAGTTTCACATTTTATTTCATGTTTTTAAATAGACATATTATTTTTATTAACTCAGCTAAAAAAAATCCGAACCTACTTAAAAAACCACCGCTGATTTCTTTACGTGTCAAGTTTAGGTTTGGACATAAAATACGTTTACATTCCGGGGAGCGCCTTCGTTACAAATTAGTCAATTCTCTAAAGTTTAAATTAACTTCAATCCGACTGAAAGGTTCTAAATCATTTAAAATTATTATTTCATTCTATTTCTTATTAAGATCAAGATTAGTTTCGTAGTTAATACTTATTTGATAGCTTTGTTTATCAATTTTGTAATAAATTTTTAGAAATCTAAACAAAAGATCACATCAAATGTAGCAATTTTAAAATATAAAGAAGGTGATAAACAAAGCGTATATTTCAGAGGCGTAACATGGAGTCCTATTAAAAAAATTAAGTACCATAACTCCTCAACGGATGGATCGATTTAAATTTGGATTTCCGTTCAAAACTTGTAAGTGAAAAGTAAAAATTCAAAGTGTTCTCTATTATGAATCACGAAAATCTGTTGAGTCATTTGTAAATTATCATCTGTGATAAATCCTTGAAGGGATGTAAGTAGCTTTCACTGATCTGATCCACTTGAAATTTTCAGTCCTGTGATGTCAATAATATAATATTGACATATTAAATTGATGATTGACTGCAACATTATCTGAAACTGTATACCTACTCAATTTTTGTTATCGTTCATAAAACCTTTACTTCAAGTATAGAGAGTATCTCAAGGGTAAGGAATCAATTATCTTCAAATTATTTACACTTATCTCACTGAGTAAATTACTCTTGAATTTAGCCAAGAGTACTGTGATAAGAAAATGCGTAGTCATGTTACATACTTATACATGTTTAGTATACGTGATCATCTCTCAGAGACCACAATATGGTACTAGTAAAAATTAATTACTACTAGC